TCAGGTAAACTTCACTGCTAAAGTCCGAATAGTAGATATTAATGCTGGAGTTGGCACTACCAAGGGGACGGCTATTTTCCTGGAACGCAGCAACACCAGTACGATTCTTGCCATCAAACTGGCCCGAGTCAACTATGACAAACTAGGCACCATAGAGAGAGACTTTGTAGTGGCCGGAGGGAGTTACAATGGGCACTACACCCTGGGCGTCGGTAACGAGGAGAGGAAGGGTTATTGTGAGTAGGATGATGTTTACGTCCGGGTACGGAAGTATTGTTTTGGGTGGTTCAGTTGTGGGTTTGTGTCTCTGTCCTAATTGCTTCTATTTCATGGTGGGTGGGTGGGGGTGGACTTTGACAGATAATTGATAGGCAGGTCACGCCGGAAGGTGACCCATCACGCGCTGGATGTGTGTAAACGGGTGGTATATGGTAGAACCAGGGAAGTGGTGTAATACCCGATTGAATTACATTATATGACCACCTCCACAATTCCAATACATTCACGAAAACCTCAAACACTTCTTTTAATTTGACAGGGTGATAAAAATCCAAATACTTCCCGGTAGTCTTGTTGATATCTATGTATAAAATGAAATTTATACTAGACAGGGCAAGCCTATATTTTACCAAGGCAAAGACGGACGTTGATCGTCTACCCCCCCCCCCCCCAGACACCGTGACGACACTGGTGAAGCCCATAGGCGTGCAAGACGAAAACTTCGTGATCAAGTTGAACCTTCTCGGCGGAAAGAACAGCACAGAGGTCAAGGTGTCACAGGACGTCTGCGAAACCGGGTATTAAAAATGATATAGCTTCTTTAATAGCACATTCAAACTAGTGTGCAGGTAAGATATTTCAACATATCCCCGTCTGAAAGGACATACATCGTAGGATTCTTCATACAGGACTGAGAGCATAGTGTAATATGTTTCAACGTTTATCAATGATGCAAGGTACACACAGAGATACCTTTTAAATGACTACAACGCAACATCGAGCTTCTTTCTCCTATATAAAGCATCTTTTCCTAATATTTTTATATAGACAGTGCTGGGGAGCTAGATTTCCTGTTTATACGTTTGCTTTTTGTGTTGTTTTAGGCTGCATCAAACCAGAAAAAGCCTCCCCACTGGCTCCAAGCTGCTGCCGTTAAAAGGGATCCAGGTGTCCATGCTGGGGAGCAACTTCATGACCCTCGGCGCAGCTGCGCATGAGGGGCTAGGTGCATAAATGTGAAAATTATGTGATTTTCGTGCAAAATTTCAAGGAAATGTGAAAAAATGTGATGTAATGTGAATCCCATCAGAAATATGTGAAACCCAAAATGTTATTTTTTTTAAAAATGTGAATCGTCAAATCTTATTTTATGTGAAACAATGTGACCGTTTGAAAATGTGAATCGATTATGTGAAATCACACAACCCGAAAGCGTGACCAAAAATGTGAATGCAAAATGTGAGAAAATGTGAAGAAATGTGAAGTGGTTTTCCCCGCAAACTGCAAGGAGTCAAATGTGAAATTATGCTCAAATCACATTTTTTTCACAGAACAAGTCAGAATGTTATTTTATGTGAAAGTGCTTCACATAATTTCACATTTGCCTATGTCCTAGGTAATTGTGTGATTTTATGTGAAAATTTTGTAACAGGTAACAGACTCATTTACGCCCGTTTCTAAGTTTCCGAAATTCCTCCTCAAATAGATGTGAAAATGCAAACAGAGCTTGTGGGGCTTCTCGCACCTTCCCTTTGCGATGTTCGCGTTATTGTGAAGTTCAAACTTCACGTTGAGCTTCACCCAATTTGCATAATGCACGATAGCTTCTGACCTTTGTTTTCTGTCAGAGAACAGTGGTAAAGATGTTAAGACCAAGGGCATGAAAAACTGCTTGACGAAAGAGCTTCAACTAAGATCAAGGAGCTTTAATTCAAATACTGTATATTTGAATCTCTTTGGTATCACCAACGCCACTGAACGTCTAAGGCTTGAACTTCACACCAGAGGCAAACATCGCAAATGCAAAATAAAGACGCAAGAAGCCCCACAAGTCGAACTGGTCGGCTAGTGCTCAGAAGCACTCTGGCCAGATTTAGGCCACGTATAGTATTCTAATTAAAAACGAATTTGTAGTAAATTTGGGTTAAATTTGTCCTCTGAACATGCCCAAACACTGCTGACTTTAATACCCCCCAGGTATGGTTGATACTTGCCAGCGTTTTGCTCGTAGCGTCGTGTGGTGTAGTGGTACATCACTGGACTATGAAACGGGGAGACCCGGGTTCGATTCCGGGTCGTACCGGAACCGTCGTTCCGCGACGTTGTACCCTTGGGAAAGGTGCTTTACACGACTTTCCTCACTTTCCTCACTCAGGTGAAAATGAGTACCTAACTTAGGTTAGGGGCGTCTTATCGTTAAAATGAAGGTCCCGAGTTTGAGGAAAGATACACCTCAAGCACGTTAAAGAACCCATGTGAGCGGAAGTGGAACAAACCATTATGGTCTAGGGGTAGGGAATTTTCCGATCAGCCTCGTAACCCCTGCTTCTCCTATTGGGTCAGTTAGTCCTCACAACTTGTGAGAAATTGGGCTGGTCTCAATCATGATGTTTCTGACTCAGGGGGAAGAGTTGCTGTTACAGTTCTATACCTGTAGCTCTATGCCTAGAAGTGGCCAAAAATGGCCTTGCATTGAGCGACACCGTTAAAAAAATTTCCGAATTCCAGCCAGCTATGCGGTTGACGAATTATACAATTTTAATCATTAGCTTTGGAAATTAGAGCCTATTTGCACGGATTATATCAGTTGATCATATTCTCCACCCAATGACAGCCTTATTTTAACAAGAAAGGCTATTATAGCACTTCCTCATAAATTATGCAAATTATCTACATAAATTATGTATAATAATGTTCACCTTCACTTAACTTCCAAATGTGGTAAGTATGAAATTCCCAGAAGTTACAACTATGAAATTATAATAATCCTCCATTAATTATGCAAATTATGTCTTCATTTGCATAATCTATATCCTCAGATGTTTTCCCGTGCTCGATTACATGTGACAATTGTTTCATACTACTATTATCGAACAAAGCAGATTTATAGCATTTCCTCATTAATTATGAAAATTAGATCGTGATTTGAATAATTGTCATCTGATTATGTCAAGCATCACTTCAGCTACCTACATACCAAAAATCGTGGCAATCCGTCAACCGGTTCTTGAGATATCCTCCTTCGAAACTTTTTCAACAAATGCTCCTGCAGTTCCAGAACAAGCCGCTAGGGAACCCAAACTCATGTCACGTCTTCCCTAGCCCAAGAGCTATCTACCATCCAAAAATTGTGACCCTAGCATATTCAGATCATGAGATATGAAAACTGGACGTTCTGCTGCAGTACCAACAAAAGCCGCCAGGGGGCCCAAAATCTAATAATTTCTAGGTCTTACCAAGACCTACCTACCTACCAAGTTTCATGACAATACATATGAAGCTTCCTGAGTTATGCTGTTCACAGACGGTCGGACAGACAGACAAATGCTACTGAAAACATAACCTTCTTGGCGAAGGTAATAATCAGTTACTTGTAATGCTTTACTAGAACGCCCTATACCATATCATAGTACAAAAAGCTTTTTCAAGGGCCTAAGGTGTTCTTGGTTTTCGGAAACAACACTAAACTGTCACATTTGCGAAAAAAGGCTGTTGAACAGTTTCTTTCGAGAATGGTATTTAGATGATTTTTTCATATCCTACACATACCATCCGTTTTGAGAACGATTTACTAGAATGGTATAAATCTTGAAACATTAACAGATACTAATTATGCAAATGATGACCTTATTTGCATAATTAATTTGAAAATTTTGTGACTCCTTATAGGTGAATGATGGGAATTTTATACCTTGTGACATGTGTTACTTAAAGGTTAACACCGCTATGCATATATTATGTTAATGTAGAGGTCATTTGGATAATTAATGAGGACATGTCATTTACAAAGTCATATTTCATGGAGGTATGAGATCTACGAATTCTTGTTTCACATTAATTTCACATGTCAAAAATGTGATATAATGTCACATTTCTTCACATTTTGGTTTTCGTGAACATCACATGAATTTTACATTTTGCGGAATGTAAGATTTCATCACATTTTCTCACATTTTGTAGTCAAACGCATTTTACATAACTTTCACATAAAGGCACATTTTAAATATATTTTATCCATACCATGGTATGGACTGAAATATAAAAATGTGTTTCAGGTTAACATCGTTTCGCATTTTCACTCACAGTACGATTCACATAAAAATCACATAGACATCGGCGGAAAAAGAATATACAGGCAGTCACATTATTTTACATAATGGGTCGAAAGCCAATGTCACATTTAGATAACATCTTTTCACATTTGAAAATGTGATTTTTCTCGACCTTTTGCTGCAAATGGGAAAAAACGTGACGCAAAATAATTTTTTCACATACAGGTGTCGCACTTCAGAAATGTTATTTTATGTGATTATCTGTCATCTTATGTGATAAAATGCGATACTGTTGAACCTCGAACAATTTCACATTTTGTCACATTTTCTCAGAATTTGCAGCAAATTCACATAATCACATTTATGCACCTAGGTAGCATCCTCGCCTTTGGCCTCATGGCCGCACTGAGTGAAAACCATAAATTGGGAAAGAAACAAGGGGAAACCACGCTATCCCAGGTAGGTCTTGAAACGTCATGAAAAACGTAACTAAACATAAACTAGAGAGGCCGACATTTACTTGGGAGCAAATACAGCATATTTTATGGCCAAGGGCAGATGTAACGGGCTATTCTTTAGATAGAACATGAAACGGTTACAGCACTTTTGGCCCTTTTTTGCTGAAAATAGCCATTAAAGTCCCCCCAAATGAGTGATTTGGAAGTGATGTATGCCAAATATGTGACTGCTATTCTGTAGACACATGTTCAAGGTACCCTTATGTGAAAATGGATGTGTATTCATTTAAGTTTTGAACCCTGACCTCCGGCGGTCGGTTTCTTGGAAACCTGCCCGGAGGCGGGGCGTGCCTGGCACCGGTCAACTCAGCGGGCGTCTTCCTCCAGATGTCCGGAAGCGCCGCCCGTTATCTTTAGCGCTTGACCACTAGCTAACCTCCAGTGTCAGAAACACTCTGCGATCCGCCGCATGCAGCAACGCGGCTAGCTATCCTCTCTGCAGCTCCGATTCTCAGCCATGCCGTCTCCACGCCAGAGCAACAGAAAATGGAAAGGTTGCGGCAAGCTCGCCCGAGACCACCCGTATGGACTGACTGGGAAATATTGCCAGGGTTTTCCACTATCTACCGACTCCGAGGTGGTTCCGCCGCCGAAGCCGACAGAGACAACAGACCCGACGGAGTCGACGGACCCGACAGAGTCGACAGCCCCGAAAGAGTCGACGGAACCGACATCAGGGTCCACCGCACAGACAGAGCAGGAGCTGGAGACAACAGAGCAGGATCTGGAGACGCTTCAGCAGCAGCATGAGGCCTTAACAACAGCGCTGCAGAAAGCCAAACTGGCTAAGGAAATAGGGGAGATGCAGGCGGCCTTGCAGGCGCTTCAGGTATCGACTAAAACACTGCCAGCGGCGCCTCCTCTCTCGGGCCCAACAGCGTCAGTACCCAGCCCTCCAGCCGACGGGACACCACCACCGCCGGGCACAACGGCGCCAGTACCCAGCCCTCCAGCCGACGGGACACCATCACCGCCGGGCACAACGGCGCCAGTACCCAGCCCAGCCGACGGGACCCCACCACCGCCGGGCCCTACAGCACCTGTACCCACGTCCCCAGCGGCCGGGAATACCACACTGCCACCGGCCAACCTCCAAGACTTGCGCCAACATCCCCAGCTTCAAGCGGCGATGAAACCCCCCAAAATGAGTCATTTGGAAGTGGTGTATGCCAAATATGTGACTGCTATTCTGTAGACACATGTTCAAGGTACCCTTATACCGAATTTAATATCATTTGGTTGTAAAACCAGGGCTCAGGATCCAAAAATCCAATTTTTTGGCGAAAAATGCCCCATAAAACCTTCATAAAATTTTTTCAAAGGCATGTATCAAAAAAATGAAAAAAAAAAAGCCCTGGGGGTATTGGCCCACTCTACCTCCATGCCAAATTTCAAGTCATTTGGCTGAATGATGGCGGAGTTGAATCCCTTTGACTGTGTGGCAGGAGGAGGAGAAGGAGAAGGAGAAGAAACATGAGAGAACACAATATATTTCATCCATACCATGGTATGGACTGAAATATAAAAAGAATTCCTTCATAACCATCTGTATATAGCCGGTATAACTGCCCTAGCTTAGGCGTACCACACCAGCTTCGCAGGCACGCGGCGCAGCGACACCGATTGACTTGTTACACCTGACCCTTGCCTTGAACTTCTAACTATAAATTAAACATTGTTTAAAGCTATCTAATTATAATGTCCGACGTCCCTACTGTACTTGGTGACTGCGATATCCACTCTGCGATAGTTCTTGGAAAAAATGGGTTTTTCAACACCTCAATTCTTGCATTGGTTGATAACTCTGGTATTTGAAGGCATGACTATATATTATGCAATGTTATTTATTGTATCCTTTTGTTCATTTTTATCGACTACTTATAACCAAGGTTGTTCGAGTGGAGGTATTCTTCAGGAAGGTACTGGTGACAGACCTGGAGCAGGACCAAACCTACGAATGCCTCTGTAGCGGGGACAAAGCCGTTACCGACGACAAGAGTCTGTGGTTTGACTGTAGGCAGTGGAGAAAGTTTGCTGGAAACTATGAGTGGAGTGAGTAAAACTATGAAATCCCCAAGAGTAACTAAACACGCATTTTGAAAACTATATGACAATCAAGACATTCAGCGATAATACAAAATCGCCCCAAGGTGGTTTGCACGATTTGACAGATTATAACTACGGGTAATTTGTTAAAATTATATGTTCCAGCATTAAGTCTTAAAACTTGTATCATTAATCAGAACCAAGAGCCAGGGCTTCTAATAGTCAAGCTTCTATGATGGGTAAGTATATGTCTTTATACTCGCGAACTAATGATATCTGGATAGTTGCTTACCGTATATGAACATTAAATGATCGTCAATTTATGAGGCACTTTGCTTTTATACTTATATGGATACAGCTAATGCCTATATGGTCCTGTACAGACGGTTTCTTGATTTTGCCTGAATTAAGTCTTAAAACTTGTATCATTAATCAGGACGAAGCAAAGACGAATCTGGAGTGGAAATGATGACGGCGGCAGGTAAATATATGTCTTTCTACTCACGAAGGAATGATATCTGGATCGTTGCGTACCAATTATGAACACTAAATGATCGTCAATTTATGATGCATTTTGCTTTGATACTGAAATAAATACAGCTAATTCCTATATGGTCCTGTACAGACGGTCTCTTGATTTTGCCTGCATAAAGTCTTAAAACTTGAATCATTAGGTCCTGGCATCAATGTGTTGACAATGACAACATAATAGCATCTAGACATTTTCACAGTAAGATATATTGGTATGGTTATTATTGGTGCCATTTATCATGTAGAGCTTTTGTGGAGGATGGTAATTTATCACATGCAACTGCAGAATGGGACACAACATGTGATCTGACCTTTGAGTCCTGTCAAGTGACCCTGCGCGTTGGGGAGGATGAGCGCATCGATACGCTACCGGGGAAGGTGCTGTCACTGTTGGTAAGCCATTACATTATTTTGATATATCATACATTACCTTCGTTATTTGGACGAGAAGTAAACAAATATCGTTGAATATTAGACGTCTTAAGAGGGATCAAGGAGGCTGACTACATCCGGGACACACCATCCATGCAGCACTCAACAGAGACAGGCGGTGTAGACTCTCTGGCACTTTCGACCAATGGCTGATATCGGTAATGTCACGTGATCTAGGTGATTAGCCAATTGACTTCTGAGGAAGATTTCAAAGATTCCGTGACGCTTGTTTTTGCCATGAATCAAAAGTTTAGCTCTGTACTGTTCAAAGCTATCCTAATGCTTAGCTGTGTTGGTACAATGAATTATGAAATAAAGACTAAACTTTATCTCCAACACCGGAATGAACTGCGACTCACGCAAATATTCGGCTGACTCCTTCAACCTTGTTCACGGCTTGGACCCGTCTACTCTTGGAACGTGACGTCCACTAAAGATTCACATGCCTGCCCTTAACAGAGACGGAAGGCGACACAAGTTATCTGGAACGTATTAACTTTATTGACGCAACAAAAGTACAGCAACTTTCGTAAGGTCTAAAACTGCATGTAGACATACAGACAATACATGGCTACAGCGAAATTAACCTACGTTTAAAACAATACATGAGTCAACTAACACTACTTGTTCTAAGGTCTAAACATTCTTTGATATATTTACCTATTTGTACACAGTTAGTGTTATTACCTTCTAGGATGAAATTAAATTTATCTATAGCATGAAATGTAACAAATTCTGTTGAGCAAGCAAAGAGAATGTTGAACAGCTTTATGCGTTATCGTCATAAAGTGTACAATCCAAAATAAAAAGTTGTTCGTCTTCAATATCATAGGGAAAGAATGGCCAAAGCCTCTGGTCACGTTTCTTTTATATCTTCCTAATTCTATATTCAATTTATGGCTACAAATTCTCATCTTTGTAATCGATCTACGAACTTCGAAATTATGTATTTCAGAAAGGTAATTTTCTTGTCCGTATCTCTTTTTTAACATGGAATAGACAGAAAGTTTTGAGTTGTTTTGAATAGAGGTATGTTATTCTTGTATGTATATATCCTGCAAACGACGTCGTAATTGATCTGTTAACATATCAACGTGTTAGAACCGGTCCATACATATCCAAACCGTTATAATTAAGAATGTCGTGTACATGATTTACCCAGTCAGAGTCAGCGGAATGTAAAATATTGTATGCCTCGTGGAGTAGAGGGTCTTCGGGTAAATTTTCTAACCGGTGCCAGTATTTTATAAGTTTTATTTCAGCATCAATCATGACAGGAAATGTTCCCAATTGTCTTTGACGTCCCAAGAGTAGACGGGTCCACATTTCGTGAACAAGACTGATGGAGTCAGCCGCGAAAGTCTTGGGTAAAGTTTTCATTTCATAATATCCTAATGCTATTTTAAAAACCGCCTTTTGACCCGCAGGAGGTGTATCGTGGCGAACAGAAGGTGACAAACCGCCGAGGGCAGTACTTTGGTTCGCCGTGGGGACCCCATGTAACCCTGGTCTTCAAGATACAAGACGTAAATCCTGATGTTACAGGTGACTTTTTGCACAACAAATTTCCAACTTATTCTGGTTGGGTAAGATTTCAGTTTGATCTTCGGCTATCATTACAAAACCATAGAAAAGTTGAACCACCAAAAGTCTGTCGAAAATCCGTATGGTGATGTGTGTTATTTGTTTGTATTAAAGTTAGATTTTGTAACATTACCATATATTCTTACTTTCATTCCAATTGGCAGTATACTAAGTATTGTAATCTTTAACTGCAACGTTTGTCACCAGGGCTTGAGATCCAGGTGACTGTACCGGAGAGTAAGCTGAAGATGACTGTCCAGACATATGACAACGTAGGCGACATCAAGCGTAGGCTGCGCAAGGTGTATGCTCGGATGGTAGGTTACAAACTCACACATTCACATCATACATTATAGATATATAACATTTGCAAAGGAAATTCATAAAGTTTACCTCCACCTGGTCTAACTACAACTGCAATGTTTATTCTTAATCAAAGCCAAATACATTAAGACATATTTTGAGAGCAGGCTCTCCAATTCTGTTCTGCTACATAATGTACCCCAACACCACAGGGTGTTGCTACAGCACAAGTTACCATGGTGACAGATGTCTGGTCCAGGTCATTGACTTTGTTTTGAACGGAAGTAGAAGAAGAAGAAACTAAGCAAAACAAGATGTTTTTCTTCTGCGAAGATACACATAATTACATTGCCATCGTCTCACTGTTTTTAAAAAAAACTAATTTCACGATTTTTTCCAGAACGTGATGCATGACGGGAAGGTGATAACGGACCTGAACCAAACGTACCGTCAGCTGGGAATCCAGCCTACTGCGCATGTGCAGCTGCAGTCTTGGGACCCAGAGAATCCACCTGCTGTACCAAGTCGTGAAGGTCAGTAACGCTCCACAAATGTCTTAAGGTGATCATTCATAACTAGTAAGAACGAAAGTCCTGACTATAATTACTCTTAGATTAGATTAGATAAGATTACTAAAATGCCACATTTGTTTTAAGTCTGAGTAGTAATAGTGACCAACTTTGACCCTGGCCCATGTCTATTTATGTAATCTAAGCTTTATTTTCCTAATTAGGCATTAGATGTCAGCAAAGTTTAACCAAGGTTTGTAGAATTTACACGTACACGAACAATGCACAACCCTCTACATAATGGCATCAACAGTACATAACATTTTTATCTTTCGATGATATCCAATGTTGGCATGGATAAAATGTTGTTTTTTTATCAATTATACTTTCAGAAGCCAAAGAGATCGAGAAAGCAATAGAGGCACTGATACAAGAACTTAAGGTATCGTTATACCGATATTAACTTCTAGGTAATATTTTCTATATTTTTTGTTACATATCAAAGACTAAAACAATCTATTTATGGATAAATCATGGTTTGTAGAGTCAAATTGAATAAACGATTAATTTGTTTCTCGTTTTAGGGAGTTGAACAGGGGAATGAGGATTCGGACACTAAAAATGAAGCGATTACGAAGGAGCAGACAGAAGACCAAGAAAAATGGTAAGTATTACAAAGCTTGAGTAAAAGATGTGAAAATTACGCTGTGAAATTTTAAAAGATTTCCATCGCATTTTGGAAGCAATTTTGTAGACCGTGTTTATTGATTAGCTGTTCCCTTTAGTTTTTAGATAAACTTATATAATTTACATGATCGTCTTCTACTGCCCCAAAAATCAAACCCAATAAAATTAGTACAACGTATGTTGTAGAATGTAGTATAATGTTAGACGTAGTCTCGTGTATCATTTTCTTTTCTTTTTTTCATACATTCATACATACGTTCTTTGTACCTGCAATTAGCCCTTGGGCATGTATTTGCAACAAACATCTCCATGAATATGTCAAACTAATCGCCCAGTGTTTTTGTGTCTCTGCAGGTCGGCCGTTCGCCGTATCCTGTGGCGTCACCTGGAGCTCCAGGACGAATACCCCGACATCCCGCCCGGGGCCCTGAAGATGCTGATCCGGGCGGTAGGGGAGGACACCGTGGCGGTGGAGGTCTTACAGACTATCCTGAAGGCCGTGCTGGAGCGGGGATGAGGGTGCTCAGTAGGGCGGACCAGCGATTTGACCACACTGTTGGGCGTCTCAACCACTATTAAAGTGTCAGAATTATGATACCAGTGCAGAAAAGAACAAGAAACAGTCATGCCTTCAAATATCAGAGTTATTAACCAAGAATTAAGGTGTTTAAAAAATCGTACTATCGTAGAGTGGAACTCGTTTCCATTAAGCACATTTGGGGCATCATAACTAGAAAGCTTTAAACAACTTTTGCAAATAAATGTGCAAAGATTGAGTGTAACAGGTCGTTCGTTGTGATATAGCTAGCTGCCGCTGCACCGTGCCTGCGAAGCTGGTGTGTAACGCCGAAGGGCGGATATACAGGCTATACCAGCCATTTTGCTCTATCCGTGTACCGATATGTTCCTACATAATGACATATACACGGAGAAATGTAGTGTTAGATACAAGTGATTTGGAGTAAGACAAAGTAAATATCCAATAACATCACTTAGTATAGTGGAACATGCCAAGTCAGGATCAAGTACTTTGGTGAAGGGAAAATAGAGATCAATCGTAATAACAACAGTACAGATAAGAGGCAGTTCAGTTCTGAACCCGAAATGATTATGATGGTGATGAGAATAACTAGTATAAAGCACTACGTAGCAACAGTGTAAATTTCATGAAGTAAAGGACTATAACGACATGCGCTTAGCAAATTTCATAAAGTATTGTTACTCCTGTTGCAGACGCCTTTATGTCATCATATATTGAGCTCTTGCTATGGACGTAGATTAGCAAATTTAACCATGATGTCCACACACAAGTTTCAATAAAAAATATTTCCACCAACGCAACGATCAACAGAAGCCGTACTTTCTTTGTATGTTTTCAGATTCAGATTTTATTACCAATGACATAGCAGGTACAATATAAAATCAACACCTGAAATGCGTCATTGCTTACAGATCCGCCTTTAAAATCTAAGTATAAAATTCATAATACATGCTAAAATACTAAAAGTCATATCAGGGATAAGATAAAAAGGGATATCAGGTAACCTATTTACAAAATACATGTTTCTTATTCCAAGACACCTGCCGTCCATGAAACAACAAGGGATTGTTTTACTCTGTCCTCCTTCCATATACAATACTAAATCATCAAATTACTCAACACGTGACAATGTGAGTTGTAAAACATAACAGGGCATTTGGAGTGTTTGAATTAGTTAAGTTTTTAAGGTCGCGAAGAGAAGTTGCTGAGCTATTTCTCAACATTTAGGTCAATAACCAGAAAGAGATGTTGTACGTATCTTCGAATTCTGTACAACGGAAGTTCAGCTGATTAAATCATGGAGTTACAACACGTGTTACAAGCTCCCCCTGACGGATTTTACCGACATTGAAATTGGTCATTTGCTCGAGAATTTATATTGAATCAAACCATCTCTGTGGGCAATGATTTCAACACTGCGGTGCAAATATACCGGTCTTGAAGAATATATTTTCGTGACATGTGACATCCATCTATATATAGATCGAGCGAGCGAGCCATACATGAACGTTGGCCAATCAATCAATCAACCAAGAAATCAACCAACCAAGGAACCAACCAATAAATCAATCAATCTGAATTTATATCTCTACATTCTTAACGTTACTTATCTATCTGATCTTCGATTAATTACATGAATGATACAACGTGTATTTACCTAACTCATAATGTTGATGGCAAGTTGTGGCACTTTCAAACAAGTTAGTCGACGGAAAACATGCTCTTAACATATCGAAGTTTCACAGTTTTGTAAGAAGCTGTCAAACCCAACAAATGTAGTTCAATCTATACTTTAACTATTATTAAGTATACAGTAGTTCTAAATAGCATTAATATATTCGTCAACGTTATTTCCATGTTACATGTACCTGCTATTAGCCTTTGGGAATGCATATGTATTCGCAATAAAAGTATGAATGCATCTTGGTTTTCATGCTTAGTAACGCTTTTGCCATGTTATTCCTCATCCTCAGCCAAAATCCAACTTCGAATCTTTTTATGAGCGCGTGTTCATCCAATCACGCAACCATTCCATGATGACCCCCCCCCCCCGTACCCAGGTGTTTGTCCAGGGTCGGCCATGAGCATGTCAGGTGGTTGTTGTTGGAATGTCAGGTACATCAAACTTTATACTCTGGGATAAAGTGGGATTTATACTGGGACAAACACCACGAAAAACACACCCCTTTACGGCCCAGCAGTGTGGTGCAAAAACCCAACTCAACAAGGTGGCAGGTCTGGTTCTGTTCTCTGTTGCAAACAGTCGACTGAATCGCTGAAGGTACGTGAAATAGCTATCACCTAACACAGTAGTCCTTTAAAAAGTCTTTTAACGATTAAATAAAGGTGTTGTTAATAATAGTGGAAAGTTGTATGCCTATTGCGCACTGCTCTTTCTCTGCATCCCATTCTCCCAAGTAACCCCCCCCCCACCCACACACACAATACAGTAAATTTTGGCCTGAAAGTCCCAAATTATACAATTTTAAAGGTGTGTTCAGCTACTTAAGTTTTTAAATTATGTCGACGGTATAGATTCCTTAAGCTCGGTTAATCAGGAGAATATTTAAATTTGTTTTGTTGACAGAGAAACTAATCATGCCGTGGTACGTATATTTGTACTCCAATTGTGTTCAACCAACCTTAGTAAATTTGACCCAAGGGTTTAACGACCCGATGACAAATGAACCATGGTTGAACAGAGACCCTCATATTTGCTCCCTTGTGTTCGGCCCGGTGTTCACAGACACGAACGCACACACACACACATGCACAAACACACGCGCGCGCACACACACACACACACACACACACAAACATACACACACATTCCCCAACTTTGGCGAAGGTAGATTCACTGACATGATAATTACGTCTTTGCACATGAAAAGCGATGTCCGTCGCCTCGGGTTCCGTATTTCAGACGATCAAAGAGCTTGTTCTTCAACAGATGTTATCTCGACACTAGGGGTCATAAGATATATTTGTCATCAACAGAGCGTTGACAGAAGTTGTCCTGCCAGGACGCGTGTCAGAAAAAAACACTAAATCGTCCTGTCAAGTTAAGTAGACAGTACCTGTTGTGTTATACGGGCAAACGCCGCAACACTTCGTGTCAAAGTTGATTACGAAGTAACGTACTTTCTAGCGGCTATTCACCACCCCCATCCCCAATCAATACTGACCCCCCCTCCCGCGCGCATCCTTCGTTTTTTCTGCTTTAATACAAAAAAACGGAAATCTTAAGTGATTCTCCCCGAAAATGCTGACTCAAAATCTGTTTCATTGTTTGTACATGTGTTTTATTTGTAACATCTTGTAAAGTAATGACAACGATTTACTTTCCGATGACTGATTTCGCTCAGTTCAGACGACTTTGCAGACAAGTCAAGGCTTTAAAAGATTTTAACCTTAGTATGCGAGTGCCGAGAGGAGTTTGAGAGTTTGTCAACAGAATAGTAGTTATCGCTCTGGTTGAAACAGTACTGCAAGGTATAACGTGTCCATCATTATCAGTGCGACGAGCTACATGTACGTCATGTGACATCTTCATATATAGCCACACCCATAACCTTTGTCATTTTGTGGCGAGCTTGAGTCGACTGTGGCTTCACAACACGCCTCCTCTGTCCTCGGCACGGCTTTCTCAGACAGATTTGGTGACTCTTAAACGCAAAACTGTACTACAGAAGGCGGTGCCGTCCGTTCTTCGGCTTGTGGAACGCCCAATCGATCGTACAAGTGCGTACAGAGGTAGGGTAAACGGGGAAACGACCACTTTTGTTATGACTGATTATGACGATGCCAAGTCTTGCACCAGCACAACAGATTTGCGTTTAATCGAGGGTTCATCGAGCTTGTGCGTTTTACTGAACGTTTTACATAATACATGTTTATCGCCTAAGAACTGTATCCCTGTAATTGAACTCCTTTCTTCTACATCTTACCTTTTAGGGTGCACTTTCCGACCCCGGCCCCGTCAGACCGCGGCTTCACACCACGCCCCCCACCCTCGTCAACTTTCTTCGACAGATTTGGTGAGTCTTAGGCTTCTACGAGTTTCTGTGTACATACTGATTACGTAACTGAAAGTCGCGAACCAGACGTGAAAGATTAAACAGGGTCCAATTCTCGGTTGCGCAGGCTTATCCGGATTCAAGGACTAGACAAGACCGTACGTATTCCTATAGGCCTGCGGTTGTTCCGCTATATCCCAATAAAACATACAGGCACACACACAGACAGACACACACACACACAGACAGACACACACACACGTCTGTTTCTTAAGAGCCACGGTCTATGTTAGATACCACTCCGAAAGAAGATTTTGGTAAAATTTTACCACATGAGTCTAACAGCGTTACAAGCCACATTTTAGAATGCACAACTTGCAAGCCCCGCCTTCATCAATTTTCCACTAAGATGCACAATGACAAAGATCAGTGTTGTTTACGAAGTAACATCGATAATGTTCTACCACCTTTTCACCCACCAACCCAACTCCATGCTGAAAACCCCCGCATCCTTCGGTATTATCTGCCTACGAATCACAAATAAAAATCCCAAGTGAGGCACAAGTGTAATACTAACACGAAATCTGTTTCTGGCATGGGTTTTGATTGTGACATCTTATAAACGCCCCTTTTCACTAGGATGTCGTTTAAATTTCAAGACATATCGTTGAAGGATTTTCAAATCCTAAATTGCGAGAGTTATCAAACAGAATGGCGGTTATCGGTCTGTTTACGTATACTACTGCAAGCTTGCAAGGTATAATGTGTCCACCACGATCAGCATGGTGACGTGAGCTACATCATGTGACATGTTTATACATGTATGTAGCCGCACCCATAAGCTTTGTCACGTAACAGCAGGCTCAGTTCGACTTTGGCTGCACCTACCCCCCCCCCCGCCCTTTGTCCGCAACTTTCTGCGACACATTGGTGCGTGTTCGATTAGAGCAAGGAAGTTCT